ATGGGTCACAGACACTTATCCTTTCTAATTTAATTAAATTCTAATTTAAAATAATCTTGTCGGTTAACGGTTAAAATAATCTGTTAACGAGCGTCGGTTGTCGGTTAGGAAAAATAACCGAAATGAACATCCCTATCCTGGATTTAAGTTATATTTAAGATTAACTTTAATCCTGTTGCACCATAACTTTAAACTCCGATTTAAATCTCGATTATGGATTAACTTTAAACTTAATGGAGGTTTAAATAAAATAAAATGCACATGCAATTAAAATATGTAACTGATCGAACAAAAATAGCGGAGATCTGACAAAATCAGGTCTCAGAGAGGTGTTTATTACAAATAAAAATGAAAATTAAAGCACATTGAGTTGGCAGAGTGCGAGGGTCGTGGCGGGATGCGGATCCATCACTCATGGTGCACCTCGGTGTCGGACAAACAGAAGAAGTGAGGAATATTTAACAGCAGCGGTCACAGTGATGATGAGGCGAGCACCAGTGATCGCGGCCGCGCCTCTCGTTTCTCATGCCTGTGTCTGCTGGGCGGCGATCAAACGTGCAGGGCAGCACTTTTCAAGAGCGGAGATCGCTACTAGACGAATCATGTAATTTAAAAAAATATTATAATTTTTTTTTTATCTCGGTTCTTTTGTTGTAAGTTATGCTATTACTCCTTTAATTTATACTAGCCTATATATCCAGCACTCCCTGAACGCAGTCTCTGGCTTATTGCCAGTCAAGCGCAAGCACGCTACAAGGTCTATAACGACTTTGATCTGGTCATAAAGTCTTTCCGAGTCACAGGGCTCAAGTCCAAGTCAAGTCTCGAGTCATTGCTGTCAAAGTCTAAGTCGAGTCTCAAGTCTTCTTTAATTATTTCGAGTCGAGTCGCAAGTCATCAAATTTGGGACTCGAGTCCGAGTCAAGTCGAGTCCACACCCCTGGGTCACACCCACTAACCCACACATACACAAGGATTGCTGTGTCCCATCTTTGACAGAATGAAATGCAAACATCCGATTATGGATTATTGTGGATGATTGCCTAACCATATCAAGGAACTGTGATGTATCTGTGTGAGAGGATTTGATTGCAGACAGTGACTTGCATAGACCTCAACAGCGACAGAAGAATATAGTGACAGTGAAAATTAAAACATCAAAAGAATTTGTATAAAAAGTTTGGTACATAATTAGCGTTGTTTGTTTAAATAGCGTTTCAACTTTAAATTGACTAATTTCTCCTTCCTCACTCATAAAACGCTCATCTCCACCCTAATGCATCTCTCACCTCATCACTTTCTAATTTATCGGAACGGTCACTTCCTATCAACACCATTTGGTCTATCGTAATACTAAGAAAAACGTATTATCCATTCTAGCTATTTTCAGTTATTAATATTCAGGACTGTAATAGCCAAATTACAGTTGATCATTAGGATGAACATCCTTTCTTTAGGATTCTGTGAAAATATAAATATATTAATAATATATAATGATGTGTGATAAATTAGATAATGCATCTAAAGATGATTCAAACTGCTCCAGGCGGACCATCCCTTCCAACAAGTGACTACAACTTTCTAGTTTACAATACTATGCTTTAAAAACCATCATACAGTACCATCTTATAAAGTATGATGTGATAAAGCTGTTTCAATGAGTCACTTGACTAAGGCCTTGTTTCACTTTAAAGATAAATGCCCTATCATTGCTAATTTTTCCTCCATCTCTCGTCACATTTACGTTATTGCTATCAGCATACAACATAGCCTCAGAGGGCCCTTCTCATAATGGCCCAGTAAGATTCAGTGAGTTCATTCAGTTTACTCTCCTCGTGCTGATTACTGTTTTGGTGAATACTATGAAAGGTCTGCAGCTTATTTAAAGGGGTCATATGATGCGATTTCAAGATTTCCTTTCTCTTTGGAGTGTTACAAGCTGATTGTGCATAGATAAGATCCCTGAAGTTGCAAAGACTAAAGTCTCAAAACCAAAGAGATATTCTTTATCAAAATTAAGACTCTGCCACACCCCCCTAAAACAGCTCCTTCTAACACGCCCCCACATATCTACCTCACTATGTAGAAATATTTGCTTAATGCCGCCCAAATGTTCACACAAAGAAAGAAGGCATTCAGTAACCACAGTTAGTGTTGAAGCAGCCATGTCAGGGAGACACTGTGTGTTTCTAGGTGAAAGCAAAAGCACTTTATTTGGCCTTCCGAAAGTAGATGCATTTAGGAATCTTTAAGATTACTTACAACAGAACAGCAATGCATTTTATGGACGACCGTTTCGTGAACCTAGGAGAGGAGGTAATGCGGAGTTTTGAGCATCGTGTGTGTGTGTGTGTGTGTGTGTGCGCGCGCGTGTGTGTGTGTGTGTGTG